TTCAAAGCTGTCTATACTTAATATTACCTAAGAACACAGACACTGTCATTTTCAGCTGCAAAAATTATCGTCATACAATGAAACAAATCTTAGTTAGCACCTAGATAACAGCCCTTTGATTGCTTGGGCTGATCATCGAAGAGTGCGAAGAGCAATGTTTTATTAAGTTGGACTTCACTTTACTGAAATGAACAACCATGGATGGCTTACGGATCAAAAAGCAACAAATCAGGTGTGCAGGACGTCCTCTACGGCATTCATGGTAAACGCCGGAAATGTAGTGCCAGCGGCTAGCCCACAGCACGATATCTGAAGCAGAAATGTAACGTTTCGCGCTTGCGCACCTGACTGAGAACGTCTGCGCCCACGACACAAAAGCATCCTTTTTAATATTATCACATTTCTCTGGATTAATGTTGAAAAGTATGTGAGTATATATTATAATTCATGTTGATCAACTGGCATGATTCTAGTTGAGTAAGGGCGGAAATGTTAATTTCCTGACAAGCCCCGGAGCTTGAGAAACACAGATTGTTCAACGCAAACACTTGATAGCTTTCGGATGCCAGTGGTATTTTGCCTCATCTGCATGGAGAACGTAGACGACGAAGGCAAAGCAACATGCTAAACATCGCAGTCAGTGTTTTGCATTAAATTTTGGGGAAATTCTTTGATCGCAAAACCTCACAGATTGAAAAAATAGCATGATCTTATATATTACCTGTTAAACAAACCAGCCTTTTGAGGAATTGTGTGGTTGATGAGAAGACAATTTATTGTGCGTCGAGAGATCTGTCAAGCGGATTAACAACCAGATTTTTGGGAATTACTTTTGTTCCTAATGGAATTACAGTCTCCCCGCTGATTCAATCGTCTTGACATTCCAAATGAATCCATACCATTAAAATCGGAGTTAATATAGCAATGTCTCGTTAACGATTCCTAGAACTGAGAAGCAAGGCCCACAAATTCGTAACTACATAGGCCACAATTCTCCTATCCAAGTGTTGGACGTTCACACATAGTGACAAACGAAAATTTCAGACTGTCAGTTAGTGCGCAAATGCAGTGATATCTGATCATTTTGAACAAATTTTCAACCCTTCTGGAATGGTGTTTATTTGCATATTTGACTCGCTGACTATGAGATTTCTCGTGAGTGGTACTTTGCTCGAGATACGCCATGAACTGAGTGAAACATGCCCTGGGACTGCTTAACAGTTTAAACTAGCACATGTTGTGTTGTGTGGGACGAAATTACGGCAGCACACATAACAGTTCAGAAGCTCCTTGTTTGCCCAAATCTAATTCGGAATAGCTACAACTTAACCACCAGAAACCATTGGTGGTTTAGATCGATGATAGTAAAACATCTTTACGTCGCTTATGCTCTCTACACATCAAAAGTCATACTCAGCTGCCTTTTCGTAAATGCCCCAATGATCTAATTGAGCCTCTAATTCAACATTCAAAGAAATCAAATCACTGCCAGGATTTCAGACGCGATGTGTTGAACCCTACAAGAACTTACTGATATATTTATTGCAAATACTACGGAGCAGCACTCTATGCTTCTTTGCAATATCCAACTTTTGATTTTACTAAATATTAGTGAGTGAGTGAACGCAAACTCTCATGGCGACCACCGGTTCCAGTTTCCTTGTTCCTGCTCTTGGATGGGTTATCCAACGAATTTTCGAGTGACGCGAATTACGCGGTATTGTTGAATGTGATCTTCTGATGTGCCCTTTCAGTTTACGCGCTAGCCGTCTCCTACGCAAGCGTAACATACCGAGACGATTCGTTTTGTATAGACAGGATGCCCATTCGACATACTTAGGTGTCAGATTGACAGCTTGTTTTGTGGAATTCAGTGAAGCATGTATGGCGGGAACGCGTAAACTGATATCCCACAAACGCTCAGCTTCCACACACGCCGATTACATCCGCCTATCGGGTCATTTCAAGGGCACACAATTCAAACATTTTGGCGACTTGTAATGGTCAATCGTGAAGTAGGTTTTAGAAATGCTGGGGAAATTTCTGACACGGCAATCTTCATAAATGCATGTCGGCCATTTAGCTAAGACTATAAATTTTCTTTTACGAGAGAACAGTGAAAACCGCTACATTGTCCACAGTCTGCCAGAAAGAGCAAATTAATTTTAAGGGGACAATGTCTAGCAGATTCGTGCACGACAATCAAGTCGTTTGTGTTGGCAGAGGCGAGTTGATCAGCTTCGTAATATTGGCGGCTAGATCATCTGGGCATGTCTTGCGGAATAGCGTTTGAATCATGTTGACCGATTACAATGCCTTATACCTTATTACCCCCCAAACAAACCTTTACTATATCCTAGTCTAAGAATAAGAAACAAATTTCTTATTTCCTGTATTGAAAAATTAAGAAATTCGTATTTACTCCGTTACGGAAAGACAACCACATAAAAAAGTACAAATTGTTTAAATAACTAGACATTTGGGCAAATGATTCTTCTTTAAATTTCAACACCTGGCTTTTATCAGCGTTGTGTTGTCACCGCCTTTAGGAAGGCGGTGCCTAATATATATTCACTTCAAATAAACTAAACCGCTGTGTTTGAACAGACTGTTACTCTGGTTAAATCCCATATTCATCATCCTCCTGTTTACCTGAGAAACGGATTATTATCGCGTTCAGTCACATACATATCGTGTATTTAAACCAAAACAGCTCGTAATTGCAGATTGGATGCTCCGGAGCCAGGAGATTATGCATCCCGGATCACGTTGTAAGACCTGAAGAATTTCTGAAGAATTGCGAACTTTTAGATACGATACGTATTTTTTCTTCGCGTTCAGAGGCAATGGCCGTAATATAGAAAAGTAAGAAGTCTTGTTCTCCAGATTATCATTTTGTATAATGCAGCCAAGCGACGTCTTTTCGCGAACACCAGAAAACGTGCCTTACAACACTACGAGGTTCAGATTTCCAGTCCAAAACAAGCCAACGCGTATTTACAAAAACCATGGAGCAACTGATTTGTTGAAATTGCGCGGCAACATATTTTAACTGTTTTCTTGATGCATGGCTGTTCCTTTATAAACAGTTGTTAATGAGACCACTATTCCGCTCCGTGAACTAGCATCTGAAAACCCCAACACATTCAGTCCCCTACGAATGTGTTAAATCATGGCCTAAGATCAGTTTTATCAGTACTAGAATAAGCGATATTCGGTCACCTTCACCTTCCAGGTATTCAATGAAAATCACACTTAGTGGCGGCCTTGCTCATGATAGTTTTGCCAAGTTTAACGGAACGTTATTGCGACCAGATGACCGGCTGTCAACTACGGATTTCTATACGTTTGTGTGTCCTTCAAAATGAGTTCACGAAAAATCAAACTGGTATATGTGGAGATGTCATTGAACGCACTTGATTAGCATCACAAAATCTACAGTAAACTTTTGGAGCGCATCTCAAATGTATCGCAAAACACGGTATCCGTCGGAGTGGTAGTCGCATTTACAGCCTTTCAAATGATGTAGTCTACGTCAACCTCAGGGACTTTCGTCAATATTTTGTTGGAAACTTCTAGGAATACTGGATAACAGACCCAAAACAACACCGTGTAAAATTTTTAGCAAATATCTCCGCAGATCCAACACAAATACTACTTGTTGTATGCATAGCACAAAACCATTATGAAATGCAGCTGGCAAACAGATATTGAGAGAACGCTAATCATGCATATTTCACACTATATTTTCAAGTGAATCATATTTTCACAAACATTTTCACACATTCGTCATATTTCTGCCCAATTTCTGTTCTTAATTAGGGACGGAAATAACTGTGGGTCTTACGTGTTCCTCTGGCACCAAATGAAGAGTGCAACAACACAACAGTATTATGTACTGACGCAACGTTTCATCCAAATTGACGGAAGGTTTACGCTGTGTCATGTGAAGTTTATTATATGACCCTTGTTGATGGGTGTGTAGCATTCTATCCAGATAAACAAAGCAAAAAAGCAATGATCAAGTGATATTGGCTGGTGGAATCCGGCACACTAGGACACGACAATCAAGCCGTTTACCTGGATCGTTTCTGTGTACAATGTTTGGACTGAAGTGGTCTGATCAGCCTAGCACTATTTACGGCTATATCATCATGCATTGCTCTGCCAAATAGCATTCAAATTGTGTTGACCGTCTGACCCAATAGGGTAAGGCTTTATTTCCCCGCTTCAAAATGACGCTGGCACAGCGGTAGGCTACCTCAATCGTGTCGTGGTACAATATTCATTCTTATGTTTCTCAGATGTTGATCAGTTAAGCAATTATGGACTTGTCCTCCAGACCATAGACACTTTAGATTATATTACCTTTCAGAATAATCCCTGCTACCCAAGTAGGAATGAAGAATATTTTACTCCCTACTTAAAATCCCTTGGAATTCGTGATGCTTTCACACGTAGAGGACAAGGATACGCAAACGTTCACAATGTTCACGTGAACAGACCCCTGAAACAGGAACAAAGGATTACTTTTCTAATTCTGACATCTTGGTTCTCCAAGTGTTGACTTGTCGCCGACTTTTACTAGGCTTGAGGGGAGTTTTCCATTCATCCTAGATAAAATTAACTCCTAATAGATTACCCTCTGTGACACAACTGAGTGTGAATCGGATAATAGTCCAATTTTTTTCAGTTTAAAATGGTTACAACTATCATAACAGACTACAAGTTATTCACAATCTACCAACATAGAAGAATAAATTTTTTCCATCTTGACCTTTCAACTGGCATTAAAATCTTCCATAGATTATGCAAAAAATGCCCCCCCTACATTTCGTTAAACTGTCTGTAGTTTCCAAGAGATTCCATGCAAAACAGACATCAGCTTGTGATTGGATGTTCTCGTCAACAAATAGGAAAAGACCAGATATCACACAAATAGATATATCTATATTTCACTGACGATCCGAACACAACTTGTTTTCAACGCGCTTTCCGAAATGTTGTGGCGAGCTTCTCTTATACTCTTCATTATGAGTTCCGTGTGCGATGCTATCGTCAGCATATACCCATTTGACGCACCGTATTCGGACGTTAAGCGTAAGTTGAATCACAAAACCGTCAGTCTTTGGAGAAACATTTTGTGACTGCTGGCTGAAAACCTCCTCATGTAACTATATAATTCAGGTCAAGAAATACATAGGGGTGTTAAAAACCGTGTGTCCTCTTACAGGGCAGCAGAAGCATACGGACAACCATGTTTCCTCTAGATTGACTGTTGAAATTTTGGCCGAAAATGCAGCTAGGCAGATAGATTTGTACTAGTGTACGATTTCTCATTATGCAACATCACATTGAAGTGATTCAACGCGCCTCAATTATGTGTGCGAATGACGCTTGACGACGCTTTAAGTCAGTGAACTATGTGATACGTCGGCTAATTAAATTTAGTAGCGCTTCCTGTCGGACGAAACTTGCCACATGTTTTGTTAGTTATAATAATGTTTTGTGAAACTGTTTCCAACATACTCTTGTCCAAACGAATTGTCAGTTGACAAACATACAAGCAGACTTCCAACAAAGCACATTTACTTAAGTTTGCTACTGTAAATAGTCAATAGAATGAACAATGGTATCCACCGGGCATTTGCTCGGTCGCATAACCCTTAATTCCAAGCGAATAAATAATACCTTTTGTCTATGACACAAAGGTGCCAGTTTCAAACGTGTTTCAGACAGTGCGGACAGGTGAGGCATAGATTGCCCACAAACTTAACCAGCCTCAAAATCCCGGTGTATGAAAAAAAACATATTTGATGCGACTTTGGCCACTACGTCTGTAATTCCTGTAGGAACTATGGGTTTGCGCACCCTTATGGGGAGTATAGGTAAACAAATATAAAAATATTGTTAGTCGGCGTCCGATTGTAGCACTATATGAACGCCGAAAGAATTGTAAACAATGAAAATTATTGACTTGTTTTACCGTTCCATATTCCAATGAAGGAAGTAATTTCATGATTCTCGCGGTGCTATTTTAGCTACGCCGCAAAAGACCATATGGCTGGCAGTTGGGTTTGATAGACCGATGTCAAGTTCACAAACTGGACCGAGGAACTGTGACTATGAAGATTGAACTATTCTTCCATAAACTCCCGCATCTCCTGCACACTTTGCCTACTGACCTCCAGTCGTGGGCCCTCAACTGGCTGTTCTGGGTCAGTAAAGAACCCTGCCTTACAATTGTCGGTACGTGAGATCTACAAGGCATTCTAAGATAAAGTATTTTTTCACCACCGCAGGACAAACCTCAGTGTGGAAGTTTTCTAGAAACTTCAGTCATGAAGTAAAATCGATTCATCTTTAGAATGTTGGGAAGCTAAATGTCTGTTAAAACGCGCATTATTCCCTCATTTTTATTGCAGACGTACCTGGCCGGGTGCTTTTTGACAGTGTACAGCGTAAGCTCCTCTATAAATACACTGTCGCTTGAAATCATATAATTCAGTCCCACGCGATCAGTGCGATTTTTGTTCAGCTTCTGCATCATTGGTATTTGAAATTGTTTGCGTTAGCTCAAGAAAGATATTTCTCCGAAAATCTTCAAACCGAAGACACTCTGTGTTAAATTTAAGCATTATTAAACACGAAGCATCCAAAAAGGACGTTTAATCAAAACAGACTTCTAACCCACGATACGTGTAAATATATGCTTCCAAGCAACAGAATTTTTGTTACTGAGTATGTCTCATGAACATTGTATTGCTGCACACTGCTCGCTCGCGAGAAAATACATTTGTAGCTGTGAAGATCACAATTATTTTTTGACGATGAGCGTGTGGGAGTAACTTTAAGCTCACTTTATCTGTTTACTGTCGCGACTGTAGCTGACAGTTGGTTGTATAAAGAATTTAGCAGTCGAGCATTTCCGACCTACTTGCCGGCAGGTATACAAATTAAAGTTTTCTGGCAGAGCTCACACCGATTTTGAGCCAATGGTTCACAAAGTGTTGAATCTTGAAGATTCTCTTATTTTATACCACTATTATAGACTATATAACCCGTTTCATTTTGCTCTTCTGTAGAGTTCTGGATCGTTGGGCCAGAAGAGGAAAACAGTTGTAGTAATGTAAATGTCCCCGTTACTTTCCCACTTGCGTGAATAGGTCACAAATTGATTCATTGTTGACATGCAGTGCCTGAGTAACACTTTCGACCTAGACATATCGTATTCTATTTAAATAATCCCTTTTCAAAATCTAGGTCATGGGGCTTTCATTGTCTGGAATAATTATCGAAGAGTGTAATGATTCAATGTTCCTTCCAACGGAACTCAAGTGGAAGACCATCGGTGTATTGATGGATCGAAAAGCAACCAGATACGCCGTGCATCAAGTCGTCCAGGCACTTAATGATAAACGCGGAAAATGTGCCTTCAACGGTCTTCTCGCAGCATTTTCGGACTAAAGTATCTCCCACCCTGCTGCTTGTTACACGGCAAAATGTTTTCTAATCGAATACTGTAAACAAACTGTGTGTGAGTATTTGTCATGTACCGTAAGTGCTGCCTTCTTTTTTGATGTTTTCTGTGGTTTCCAGAGCATAGAAGCATCGCCCGAACTCTCGGTTTTCTTTTGTGAAACCTTTAGATTTCGTTCTCATGATCGTTGCATATAATGTAGGTTTGCGGGAAACAGTGAGAAACCAAAGTTGTTTTGGAGTAAACATCACTTGATTCAGGAAATTGATTATCTCCATAGCTGGTTGAATAAATATCGTGCATACTTCAGTAGTGTGCAGTTTCATTTGTGATAGTAGCGTAAAACTATTGCCGAGTGTATGACACTTGTTTGGCTATAGAAGTGTTGTGCCTTGAAGACGTTTCGTTTTCAATCTAACTCAATTATTTTTGAAGCCAAAACGCAAAACATGCAACTAAGCGTTGCACATCACCCCTTAAATACTGTACCAGCCGCGATGAGCGCAGCATTCTGACTGCTAAATCCGTGTACCGCATCATCTGCCTCAGTACGTATTCGTGGTTACAATTGAACTTTTAGGTTTCCGTCACCAATCGCTTACGTTGCTCATTAAGAAAACTTCCTCACGACGAAAGCATGGAGCACTAGGTTACCATGATTCAGTGGTCAAACTGCTAATGCCAGGTTGAGTTCTGATACGTGTGGGATCAAGACCATGTCGCGCCAAATGGAATAATAGTGCAGTCCTCTCCATTATTAAACCTCGCATGCAAGTTGACTGCATTATATTGCCCGTAGTTTAGGTTCAGCATACGCGGTGTACTGTTATGGTTCTTTTCTGGAAGGACAGATTCTACTTTTTACCAAAAACATCGCCCGAACCATAAACTATCCCAAGATCAAAATCTGCTTTTTGGTCAGTAAGCAGGTTATGCCGGATTAGAAAATCGGCCAAACAAGCAATAGATTGGGCGAGATAATAATGGCTGAAACGCTTCGGAGTTGTAGCAACAAGGCAGAAATTCTAACTTATAAGTGTAGAAGTTTCCTGTTTCAACGGAAGCTGATATGATCAGACGGTGAGTTATTTCAAAGTCCAATCAATTACCGCCCTCATAGTGCTAACTGTTTTGATTCTTTTTCCATCAACCCTTATGCGTCTACTGTGGTTGGACTTCCATGGACTGCCAAAATTAGTAGGTAGAATTTTGAACGACTCATATACATAACACCCTTCGCCAGCATTCGGACGACTGAAATAAGTGTGAGACGTTCACCAGTTAGAGAGTTGCAACTCATGGGTTTGACACAATAGGAGACGCAACAGACTATCCACTCGTTGCCCACTTGCGACAAGACAGCCTACACCCCTACGCTCAGTGGTGCTTGCGAATCTGGGTTGATGAGTATGAATGTCCACAACCTGAAAGCATTTTGTGATATATGAACGTAGGGTCCTCATTGCGATTCGAACATCTTGCTCCTATTAGCGTTCACTTATCACCGACTTTGAGTAGGCTTACAGGGTGTTTTCAGTTTGACATCCATAAATTTAACTCATAAAAATCCCCGTTGTATTACAGCTGAGTGCAAATCTAGCATTAGCTCAATTGTTTAAAATTTCATTACTTACAACTGTCATGACAAACAACAGGTGATTCACAATTTACCCAATATGAGAGAAATAAGTTAAATTCATCCTGCGCTTCTGAACCACCATTAATATTTCTTACCGATTATTCCAAATTTTCCGTTCTGCTATTCTCCCAACTGTCTGTTGAGTCAATGGCATTCCACGCAGAACATACATCAAAACGTTCCAGCTTGCAACTGATGCTCTTGTCAACAAACAGGAAAGCCACAGATGTCTCATGCATATGTTTCCATCCCAATGACACTCCAAACGCAACTCGTTTTCAGCGCTTACTTAAACGGTCCTGCAAGCTGGTGTTGCCCGCTTCATTATAAATGCCGTGTGCAATGCAATCGTCAGCATATACTTGTTTGACGCACCTTATTTGTTGTTCTTGTCTCTTTTGATGTTCATGGTTTATTCAAATGTGTACTGTCCCCCATGACCGTGGACAATTTATCTTGTATTATTTCGCGAGATAACCTCCCATACATCCTAAAAAGTTATAGATTATGAATATTTTCCGCTCTGCATTAGCAAATTCTTATGAAATTCTTATCAGCTTTGAACTTGAAGGAATAGCATACCTGAAACACAGTGTTTCTTTGAACAGACCTCTGGGCTGAATACTTCGAAGTCTTGAACGAAGCATTCTTGGTTAATTTTCAACAGTTTACTTCAAACAGCATCGGACCTTCGCTGTCTTCGAGTTTACGTAGGGGTAGTAGTCCTGTCGTCCGAAATACGTTTAATTCATGAATAATTAACTTCTTTGAAAAAACGAGTGTTGCCCATGTAATATATACTTCCCGATTTTGATTATTATTTGATGAATCCTGTCGGATTCTATTCTTCACACGGACACGTGCAAATTTCAGTAGTTCCGGTACATTAGATGGACCAAGAAACCTGATAAGCGTAGCCTTGACACACCGGAGCGATGAGACCATGCAGCCCGAATCAACTGGTACAACGGGAGGCATTCTCAAAGAAAACTCTGCTTCAGAATGGCTATCCAGAGTACTTCGTTGAAATTCGTAGTAAGACGGGAACATAAACAACTGCGAATCGTTAAGCCTGGTGTATATTTGTTTCTCCTGCTCAAGGTCGATAACGTCAAGTCGGGCAAAGAAGCAGACCCAGTTTCTCGTAAAGTCATATTTTTACCGAAAACGAGCTACGTCTTTTTGCCAAAACCCGATAACCCACATTGCAGAAGACAGTCTCTCTACCTGTTTGGTAGCTCTGGAAATAGTTTCGGCAGCAGCACTATCGGAATGAGCCACAAAATCCGAAGTTTCTCATGTAAACTGTCTCGTCATAAACCAAACCGAAGTCCGCACCATGGATCGGCTGACATCTCTTGGATACCGGTCATCGAATGGATCAATTCGTCCCCGTACAAATCCTATTATAACATCTGAATCAAAAGTTCCACTGCTGATGGTTAATCCCAACAAGTCACAGGCGTGCAATGGGAAACTATGGACCAAATGATTTGATCTTCCCAAATCTGGATCAGGTGAATTTCACAAACCAGGTAGTCAGTGCCCGGCCCACATTTTCCCAACGCGTTACTTAAAGAAGTGGAACGATTCATATCCACAATTCTAGTGAGGGGAACGCGGGAAAACAATATATGAATGCGCTGCCATTTTCTTTACCAAGTCCACATCTTCCACAACGAAACCATGACTTTCAAAGTCGGCTTTGCTTACTATAGTTGTACAGTAATAGAATAAGCGGAAGCCTGAATTTTCCTCAAGCCAGGTAATCACATTTCATAGTAGGCTGGCTCTTAGCAGATGTGGATGTAAACGGATACGCTGGGCTAACTGAGCATTCGCAAAACATAGGCGCTAGAAACTCTCAAGCACAAATTGACAAGACCTGTTTTAAGTACTAAAGGACAGTTTTCAAAATAATTTGTATGAGGCTGCGTGTTCGATGGGTAAGTTAGCGACCGAAGCATTACAGGTCTTCAAGATCTTTCATTGCATCAAAATCAAGTGTTATTAAAACTCTTTTGTTTAAAGTAATAAACAAGCCGAAAGACTTGGCACACCCCCCTCCTATCCATCCACGAATGGGACCACATTTCGCACGGTCAACTCAAAGTGATTTTGCACATCACGTTGTTCCGCACTCCGGGAACCTAGTATTTGAAGTTGATCAGAAGTTTAGACAGCATAAACATCTGCAAGCACGAACTGTGAACCCAAAGCGGTTTAAAATTTGGGTGTCGACCTCCAAAAACAAAACTAGGAATGGGCACTCACAGTGTTCAATCGGACGTAAGGGACTCCAGTGCACACAGGACAAACAAAAAGATAATCAGACAATGAACTAGCAGCTAATATTTGAAAATTAATGAAAGTTAAATAGAACCAGTATCAGTGCACGTGAGTGATTACCTTATATCTAGTTTGAAGTTCTTCCTCGGCGGGCAAAATAAATTTCAAGTAAATAAAGCTATTCGGACAGAAACTGAGATTTCACGAGCTTCACAACTTTTTTGAGGCACCGGAGTTGGAGCGATTATAAATAATGGACAGAACTGAACTCATTTTAATAATGCGGCTTATGGAACAGTGATTTCCAATGAACAGCAATGCATGAAGTGACCTTGGGATATTTTGAAATGTAATAGCCACAAACCCATAAGAGTTGTATATGGGGATGATTATTCACCAGCAAACACAGAGCAATTGATATCCACCGGTCCGGATAAAATCAGGGAGCCATAATATTCAGCAATTTAACTGCGCACCATATGAGTAAAATACGTACAGTGCCACACCGCATTATGGTGTTCAGCTTTCTATTGATATGGTATGAAAACACATGAACCCTTGAAGTGTGGACCTGCAGATCAAGATATATTTACGTGGAGGCGAATGTTGGTTTGTTCAAGAACAGACCAATACAGTAATATCGTTATTTCTCTGATCAACATGTAATCCTTCGATGCAACAATAGCCCTGGTAAGGGTTCTCAGCAATCAGTAGAATAACAGTGATCAATCTATCAAAATTTGCAAAACTGTTCTTAATAGCTAACTTGCGCTTCTGTGTGGAAAGCTGTCTTAAGCTGTTGAATTTATCGTGAATATGCCAACTCACAAGAAGGAAGTTTGTATCAATTTTGGAGGGATTTCTTAATGGAATCAGAATCCCCGAAGCGTTTTCCAAACTCTCCCAGTATCAAGGGGCCTGTAAACTTTGAAGATGGGATATATGCAGATCAGTCGCGTTTGCGCTACTGATAGAAACAACGAATCACAGACTTGAGGCCAATTTTCAACAAAGTAAGAAGCCACGTTTCATGCTGGTTAAATTTTCCTGCAGAATATCAGCAGATAGTCGGTTTTATTTGTCGAAAGTTCATGATGTCGACTTCCACAAACTCAAATTCCATACTAGACTCCCACTGCTCATCTTTCATTATCAGCGTAAATTTCCATCTGTCATCTTCACAGATTTCTGACCGAATCAGCCTGTTTTCATTGCGGTCGAACTATGGTAACATCTGCTAGTTTCCGGTTCCTCTTCCACGGTGTGTAGCAGTGAGCTGGACGCACCCTTTGAACATCTGATTATGCGCTCAACAGACGGTATCAAGTGGGCGTAAATAATCATCCAGGTTGCCTTATAGGAACAACGAATATCCATGTCAATGCCTTGTATAACACCCTGCTAAAACAGGTATTTTGCCAAATTGTACCTGTGGCGGGTTTGAGCTTATGAGTATGGGACCGATGGTAGAATCCACCATTCTCTACCTGCATTGTCAAGCGTCGCAAAGACGCACACACAGAAAATAAAGCGAAAATCTCACTAGACGTTAGGGGTACAATAGGCGATAATGTTTCTTGGCTTTGGTCCTGGTTACGCAGAATTTTTCTGTTTATACCAAAAACCGACATCTTTTGTGCGACCCGAGGACATACAGTGACTACGGTTCGAAAGAGCTTCCTATGTTGCCTACGATTAGTATTGTTATTGCTTTCATACTCTCTTCACAATTATTTTGAAGAAAGTCATTTCCGAACGCGGTGCCAAACACGCTCCTAATTTTATAAAGGCACCGGCTATAACAATCAATATTTTGTCAGTCTGAGGGAAGAAGACTGTTAATCAAGTGTTGCTTTATCACACATGAGTTTATGCTTGTCTATTGGCCTACAATTTATGGTGCGTCCGGATAATCACACATTAGATCACGAATAAAATTTGACATACATTTAACCGAAAAACTCTAAGGTCAATGAGGGAAAACAGGTTATTCTCATCTTGAGGTCTGCAATCACCATTGACTTTTCCCGCAGATCAAGCAAAGTCTATCCTTCCTTTCCAACACTTCGTCAATCTTTATATAATGTCCAAGACATTCCATGGAAAACGGACATCTAGACTTTTCAGCTTGTGATTGGATGCTCTCGTCAACGAATATGAAATCCATAGATATCGCATAGATAGATTTACCTCCATTTCACTGACGACCCGAACGCAACTCGTTTCCAGCGCGCTTTCCGAAATGCTGTGGCGAGCTTCTCTTACAGTCTTCATTATAAGTTCTGTGTGCGATGCTATTGTTAACACATATCCATTTGATGCACCCTATTCGGACGTTAAGCGTAAGTTGAACCACAAAACCTTCAGCCTTTGGAGAAACACTTTGTGACGGCTAGCAAAAATCCTTCTTACGTAACTATATAATTCAGCTCAAGGTATGCATAATGACTGTTTAAAACCATGTGTCTTCTTACAGGAGAGCAGGAGCATGCGGTCGACCACGTTTCCTGTAGACTGACTGTTGGTAATATGACCGAAAACACAGCTGAGCAGATAGCTCTGTACTAGTGTACGAGTTCTCATTATGCAACACCACATTGATATGTTTCAACGCACCTCACTTATGTTTGCGAAAGCTACTTGAAGACGCTCTAAGCCAGTGAACTATGTAATACATCAGCTAATAAATTTCACTAGCGCTATCTCACTGGGCTCCGCTGTTTTCAATTACTTTCAAGATTATACACATAAATCACTCAATTTTCAGCCGTTTTAGTCACGATGAGAGCGCCCGAATCACCTGGATGGAATGATTTGTGTGATTGGGCGAGTCGCTGAGTGTAGCTGTATTTCAAGCAGTGCGAAATGGCAAGCTGGGCTTTCCCACATATTTAACCAACCAAAAATTTCTGTAGATTAACGAACGACTTATTTATCGCAACGTTGGCCACCGTTTGCAATATTCCATAGAAAAATGGGCTTGCGCAACCTCACCAGGATTGCACAGAAATACATATGCTAATAAGGTTGGCCTGTGTCCGGTCGTAGCACCACATGAACGACAAAATAATTTTACGCCATGGCCAATCCATATTCTAATGAATAGAAACTTTTCATGGTTTCTACTCGGCCATTTTAGCTGCGCCACAAAAAGCCCCTTGGCTGGCAGATGGGGCTGTTTGCCCGGTGCCAACTTCTCAAAGAGGACCGGGGAACTGTGACTATGAAGGTTGAACTATTCGTCCATGGACTTCCGCAGTTTCTACATAAAAGCCCTACCGACCTTCTGTCGTGGTTCGTAAACTGGCTGTTCTGGGTCAAAATGGAACCCTGCAATACGACTGTCGGTAAGTATGGTGCACAGGACATCCTGGGATAAAAGTGTTCTCAAAGTTGCAAGCCAAATGCCGCTATGCGAGTTTTCTGGAGACATGAGTCACTAAGCATGCTCTTTTTCGGCTTACGCATGTTCGCTAATTGAATGTTAATTCAAACGCGCAAATTTCCCCCAATTTGGAGGCAGACATACGCGGCCGGATGCTTTTCAACAATGTACAGCGTAAGTTTCTCCACTAATCATCTTTCCGCGATTTTAGTTATGCTTGTAATCACATCATTCAGTCCTACACACTCATTGCGTTGTCCAGTTGTTCAGACGTTGTTTTTGTAGCATGCATTTTCGTTTGTTTAAAAAAAACAATTGTTTCCAAAATTGTGGAAAACCCTGGAAGTTCTTGTTAAGTTGAAGCAGGCCAAAGTCTCGGAAACATAAATCAAATGTTCAACAGAAATAGGATTTTAACTAACGACAACTTTAAAACTAAGGTTTCCAGAAAAAGAACCTTTGTTATTTACCGTGTTTTATGAAAGTTGACTCTATATGTTAAAAAAATTTCTATCATGAAGGTTGCTAGAAACGACGTGTGTAGGTGTAAATGTAACCAGTATTTAATTGCAACGAATTAAACAGAAATATTAGATCTCGCTTATTCTTCGGTTTATTGTTTACGACTTTAGCTAGGTATTCGTTTGGATAAAGCGATTTAGCAGAGGAATTTTTTCAGTCTAGTTGATGCCTGGTTTACACGTTGCACTTCTTTGGCAGTTCACTGCGATTTTGAGCCAACGGTTCACAAAGTATTCAATTTTATGGATTTTCTTGTTTTTTGCCGATTATTTAGACTTCGCAATCCGTCTGCTTCCACTCTTCTGCAGAGTTCTGGATCGTTGGACCAGTAGACGAAAACAGTTGTAGTAAAGTGAATATCACCGTTGATTTTCTGCTTTTTTAAATATGTCAGAAGTTAATTTATTGCTGACACACCGATATGCAGTCACTGAGTAACGGTTTCGACCTTAGAACATATTGTAACCCATTAAATGAATCCATTTTGAATATCTAGGTCATGGGGCTTTCGTTGCCCGGAATCACCATCGAAGAGTGTGATGATTCAATGTTCCCTCCACAAGTACTTCAATGGAAGACCATCGGTGTACTGATGGATCAAACAGCAACCAGATACGCCGTCCATCAAGTCATCCAAGCTCTTAATGAGGAATTTGGACAATGCGTCTTCAACGGTTTTCCCACAGCATTTTCGGACTAGAATATTTACAACCCTGCCTGTCATCGCATGCCCCAACGTTTGCTAATTTTGTAATGTGAGCGAAATATGTGAGTACGTGCTTTCAGCATATATGATCTCCCTCCTTTTTGCATGTATTTGGTGGGTCTCCAGAACATAGGTCGCATCGTTCGTGCACTAGGCTCTCATTTGTAAAAGTGTTAAATTTCGTTTTTGTCACTGCCGCATAACATGAAAGTGCAAAACCGGTCACCAAGAACGGCGGAAAAAAACCGTGAGACAGCAAAGTTTTGTTGAGTGGACGGTTAAAATCTGAATGTATTTCGAATAGAATTTATACCAAACTCTATTTTGGACTCGTATCGGCCTAACAATAGAGGAAGACTTGAAATCGAATTATTACAAGGCAATTTTGGACAGGCAATCTAACTGCTCTTTTAATGCGTGATAGAGGTGAAGTTCAGGCAATCACGCCATTGCACTGAATGGAAACGCTGATTTAGGTTTATAGTTTAAACCTGCGCAGACAAACAAATCAATTGACGTACACAAATGTGTGCACGTTCCTTCATCCGTCTACTCTTTTCTATGCGAAGCATTCAGTAATTTTCTCAACGTCGATCGCATAGATTGTGCTCTCGGTTCAGCTATGTTACCATGATTAATTTTTTTTCTATCATCTTTGTATAAAATCCACACTTGAATGTGGCCACTAAGATGGTCGCAGGAAACCGCGTGAAAACGAACTTTTTTCGGTATGCTATGCTGATATTAGGTACAGAAATTCCTTGGCCTCCGTAGCAGGCTAAATGCGCCTCACGCACCGTACTTCAATTTACGGATTTACACATGTTGACCATGTGACAATAAACAACTTTTCTCAACCATTGACTGGTAAAGAAAACGCAATAAACTAAAATACCAATACACGATTTCTGTGTCTATTTATTGCCGTGGGGTGAAATGATGTACAAACGTAGGCAGAATGCATTAAATATTACTCATTTTTACTGCGGTGTCCGTTCAGAAACTTAGCTTGGAAGGAGAATCGGCTTTCGAATCACCATTGACCTCCTAGGTGGATCCGCTCCGCCAACAAGAATCCAGATAACCGTTGAATGAATGCACATTTGCATGCAATAAGTTTCCAAGTGTGCTTATACCTCTGGGTTCGAATTTTCTTGAGCAGGTCAATTTCGGTTCGGTTCCAGTATATGAGTACCCTCGTTAATGGACGCAGGGGAGTTTTACTCTACCAAAGAACACGGATAATTTACGTGCGATTTTGTCCTGTCCGATTATGCTCGTGCTGACGCATCTTTCTCTTGGTGGCAATTCTCGCCCAAGCTGCGAGTGATATTGTACAATAAGCTAACTATGACGAATGCAAAGTTCAGGAAGCCCGACAACTCACGGCGAATCAAAATGCGTATAAATTGACACAAAATTCCCCGATGATCTTCACCTGCAAACATTTCCCAGAAAGACGAAAACCGTGCACGGTAGCGGACGAACAAATCTGACATAACTGCATTGCTTCGGTTTTCTTTCAAACGCTATGTGTATATAATACAACTCAAGTTAACTGGTTGGCTGAATGAAATTCTAGTTGAGTATAACCGGAAATATTTGTTCACCGGAAGGTTACCGAGGCATGAAAAGTACGCAAATTTTCCAAGAAAAAACATGCGCAGTCCTGGAATGCCACCGCATTATGCGGCTCAAACGCATATAGAATTTAGACGGCGCAGGGAGAGCAATTTGTAAGACATATCACCATCAGCGTTTTTCCTCTGAACTGTGAGTAAAATGCTTTGATTGAAAAGGCAGAACATCACGCAAATTGAAACAGTCACGACCCTAGATGTTTAGCTGTCATTCCTTCACTCTCATTTGACTGAGCAGCTAATTGGAAATGATTTGACCTAGTAATAAGCCACTCATTATGTGCGAAGGCCGTCACGTTTAAACATCCAGGACTTCCGAGTTTTGGAGCTAGATGGGCGAATATGCAATGAGAATTTAAACCAGATTAGCGGTGCATACGCATTCACATACCTGGATAGAAATCCATACGGTGAATTCAAGCAAATTTCATATTTTGCATTCGTAATTAAAACCAGGCCAACGGTCCGTGACTGAGTCTGAATAACGCTGGATATAAACGTCAAATGTACCTCTCCACAATTTGTACGAAGCCAACACTTAGGCGTGTATGATTTCAGTGTCACAGGATGATAGTGAGATAAAATTTATCCAAACAACTAACAAGTCCATTTTTGTCCCCTGCGTATTCACATCTGTGAATACGCCTTATGTAACCAGGCCCAACTACCCCACA